CCCAAGCCGAAGGAGCTTGCTATGCCACGGCAGCCGTGTGCCGTGACCCCAGCACTCTGGTGCAGGGGCCCTTCCACCTGGAGGCCTCCCCGAGGGTGCGAGAAAGACGGAATGCGATCTCTCCCACAGCTCCTCTGAACTGCTGCACTCCCTCTCCTTCTCATTACTGTACTATATACTATCCAGGTAGGTTAAAGGGCAAGATCCTACTGATCTTGGCACTTGAACCTGGGAGCATGCCTTTCCTAAGCTTCCTGAGCTCACTGCTTGTCTTCCTGGTACAACCCCTGGGATCAGTAAGCCTCTTCGAACCACGATGCGTACTGAAACCTCCACAGTGGTTGCAGAAGATAGCAGGGAGCCCTGAGTCAAGCCAGCCTACATACAGTGAGTGATGAAGCCTCCTATGCTGCTTGATCACCTCCCCCATGGCTGGTGACATGGCCTGGCAGTCAAACTTCGACTTGTGAGAGACGATCCTTAAGCTGCTGAGGCACCGATATCTCTGCCCATCCCAGACTGGCTGGTGTAGCTCGGCAAACGGTCTTGGCGGTGAAGGTCTAGGCTCCTTGGGCAGCTTCTGCAGCTCTCCCCAAAGCTCCTCGGACTTCGGCCAGGACCCCAGGTTCTTACCAGCCCCAACCAAAACAGACAAGTAGAGGTCATGGGCTGCAACATGTTCTTCGACTACTGCGGATGCTGGGCGATGGCTACGCGCCCCTTGCCCTGCATAGTGATCTGCTGCCATGTTGCCGAAGATGTACCTCCTGTCTAGCTCGCTGACTGCCTCCGGCTCCTTCCTGTGGCTCTTAGTCTTGACTAAGTGCAACCATTCGCCCCCAGAAAGCGCACGGCTGATGTGCCTCCAGACCCTGGAGAATGGAGATCTACCGTCAATGCAGGATTTGATTGATTTGCGGATAAGGGCCGCACAATCTACAACGAAAGTGTTCGTGGAGGCTGCTTTGGAGTGCAGTACTGCCACGAGGAGCCCCCCATGCTCCCCGTCGCCGGCGGTCTGCTCCCCGAAAGACGGCAGGCCCCAAAGATTGCCCGCTTGAGTGAGTTGTCCTCGTTCAATCCTACTGCGGACGAACCTGCACGGGCAAGGTGGCGAATTTCGGGGTCAAAGCACGAAACATCCGTGAAGATTTCGCTGTAGGGTTCGAACTCGAAGGGGTCGCAGGGCCCATTGGCATTTACATGCAGAGTACCCCATTCTTCCAGCAGTGGTTCGAGCTGTATTCTGGGAGGCCAGATGTGCGAATAGAAAGCCGACTCTTCTGAAGCCCCTTCGATGACATCAGAGCCCATGACTTCTTCCCTGAACTCTTTCCCGAAGGGGCGCGTCCATAGCCTGTGGCACTGTGTATCCACTTCCAAACAGTAGGGACAAGACGGCTGCAGGTCGTAACCCCAGCCTGGCAGAACTTTACCTGTGATAAGGGAGCCGCCAATTTAGTGCCTAAGGCGGGTGTACTCGTCGGGGGCGAGCTGCTTTCGCACGTGCCTAAGTCCCCTGCGGACCTGGACCCAGTCCACACCCCCTTCCTGTCCGACTGGCGGGGGAGGGGGGCGAGGGAGAGCACTCAGTTCGATGCCTGCAGCCTGGCTAGACTGTTGTTATTTGAGGTCCTCCGTGAACTGCTTGGCAATCGAGACTGGCGGAATCTCCAGGATATTGATGCTGCCCCCCACTCTGGGCTGGAGGGTAGTCGGGTTGTCGAAGTGCCAGCCCGCTCCCTGGAGCCAAAGCAGCATGTCTGAAATGGGTCCTGCCGAACGTCCTAACCACGAAGTATTCCCTGGGTCCTGGAACTTGGTTTGCACAGCCACAAAGAGGGTCCTGAGTTCTTTAGCATCTAGCCCATCTGCACGCATGCCAAACTCTGCTCTACCTGACGTAGCCCTCCACCACTCCGTACAGCATGTGTCCAAAGTGCTGGATGCCAGACTAAGAGGGTCTGCCACCTCGTGTACTTGCCACCATATGTCGGTCATTGCTCCTCTAAGCTGGTGTCCTGAAACAATCCTAGCCATGGAGCGTAGCCTATCTGTCCCAGCGGGCGTGTAACCGTGGACCTTCCCACCACACCGTACGAGCGAGCTTACCGAACTCCAGGAACAAAGAAACAAGCCCTATCATTTGGCTTCTTGCGTTTAACGCCCCGAAGACGACAGAATCTCGAGTGCGTTTTGGCCCATCGTGCTCTCCTTGTCGCGTTGGCCCCAGGGCGCCGCTTATGCTTTCCTGATGCGAAGTCGATGCCTAGGTGGGAAGCTGACGGTACTGCTGCCCCTGCAACTGTTCCCAAGACTTGCTCGGCCCTCTTGAGCAGGGGGGCTGAGCTGGCTGCGATAGCAAGCTTGTCAGCGGCAAGGGGAAGGTGAAGGGCAACAAGGCCCTCCTTTAGCCTCAACCCGAACTTCCAGAGATACTGAACGCATTCTTCTAGCCCAAAGGCCCACGAACTGGAGGTGATGTCGTCGATGTGTATGGATGCCGATGCTTGCTCTTCCGCTGCAGCGGAGACGTCCTCCAGCATGGGCATTACATACATCTTGGCCTCTGTAGTGGCCGTTTTGGAACCTGCGACAATTCCCTTGGAAGGATAAATCCGCGGGCCCACGGCTCCGCCCAGAAAGATCCTCCGCGAGACGGCGTACATGCGTAGCGCTAGGCGAATAGCATAGAGCGGGCACTGCAAGGCCTGGGAAGCACGATAGAGGTAGTCGTGATCTAGGTTCTCGTAGAACTGTTTGATGTC